TTTCTTTCTTTCTTAAGTCTACCTCTGTTTTCTTTAGTTTGCTTCTTTCTTTCTCCTCATTAAATTTTCTTTCTTTCTTTCTTTCTTTCTTTCTTTCTTTCTTTCTTTCTTACAATCAGCCTGATATCATCCATCTCCGTCTCTTATTCAATGTTCCAGACCATTTTTGAGTTGTTAACTGTCTTTTGGGAAATATGCCATAACACGAAGCCGGGAAAGATTCTACCAAAACTCTTGTCCTCATCTTCAACTATCCCACACAATTCGACATCATCCCTCCCCCGCCACCTAATGTTGTGAAAATTGTGCTTTTTAAGAATTGTCACGTGACGTAAAAGAACAAAGATTCCTTTTCGGGTCAATGTTTTTGTCTGGTGTAGGTGGATAAGGCTTTCGTATTAGAGTCAAGGTCATTTTTTTCCGGAAGAGTGTAGAAATGTAGCTGAGAGAATGGGGCGATTTTTTATGGGTGGTATGTGTGTCTGGCAGGCAGAGAGCCATTTTTTTTTTTTTTTGGACGACTTCAGTTGTCTTCAGGGAAAGTGTATCACCAAAAAAACGGTTTTTCGATCGAAGACATTTTTTTTTAATCTGTCATCACATTATAAATAAAATGGCTCTTATGGTAAATATTTTTCAAAGATCACACAAGTTTGGCACATGTAATAACATCGGAGATCAGAAAGAAAAATCTGTGACAAAACTGTATATTCTTACTCCACAAACTGGTCACTCGTATTCGAGTATAACCGTCTAATAGGGCGACTAGCCAATCCCTGTTGCAGAGGCTTGCTTAGGCGCATTTGTGTTTATTCGACACTCACATAGCCAACCTGTGGCATATACTTCAACTATGCCGAGCAGACGTTAGTTACAGTTTCTGGGAAAAAGCGTGTTTTCTAGCGTGATCAACAATTTGAACAAGGCCAGAACGCTCAAACCCTCGGCCACGATGACTTGTGACTACGTGTTAGCACAGCTATCGACGGCCCCCAAAGATTCCATCTACCTAATTTCACTTACAAGCCGTGGCATGATTTTCAAGCAGTTTATAAATGTGTCTCACGCTTGGAACAATCCCTCTTGTCAGTTAACATCAGGAAGTCTCCTTCCTGACAAATCGACCATAGTGAGATTCGAACCCGGGTCTCATGGTTAGAAAGCGAAAGTTCTATAGACGTTCTATAGTTTTTACAATAACAGTCAGACCCTAAGTCTTTAAAAAATAACACGATTGAATATACAAAGACCAAGAAGTATTTTCATCAAATCATTTAATAAACTAACAGAAGAAATAAAACCTTCGTGGACTTATGAATTATGGTAAAAATTTTCTCTTTCTTGATTATCTGTCATGTTCAATGTTATTTAAGTCCCTTTTGATACTCCAGCAGTATCATGTACAATGGAATAGGTGCATTCAATTGGGATGTATTTAGTTGGAGTTTCTTTCCAATTGTAAAAACAAAATGCTCTCAATATGCTTGGTTTCCTCCCGTAGTGAAGGGATAAAAGTGATGGGATGAATTTATAAATATCAAACAGAAGATTTTAGGCTTTCATTTTTTTTTATGTCACCTTAATTATGAGGTTAACTAAAGTGCATTATAGATAAAGTTTATCAGTTAATTTTATTTTCTCGATACATTGGTACATCTATATTATTATAATTTTCAGGAACTGAAAGACAATCCTGTAACCTGATTTCTTCTCCACAGATCAATATTATTGTCGAGTCCTTGTCAAATCGATTATAGTAAGATTCGATCTCGGGTCTATTGTCTGAGATGCTGACATTCTAATCATTAGGCCACGCGTTCATTATATTTAAATATAAAGTTTATCGGTTAATTTGAATTTTGGCGATAAATTGGAAAAATTCGGTACTTCTGTTTTAAAAGTTTTGACTCAAAAATACTTATTTCTTATAAAAAATAGTTTATTTCAGTTAGCTGACATAAATTGGTCGACCTAACTGAAAATTGATAGGTTTCTACACCCTTTATTAACTAAATTTTGCGATCAGCCAAGATCGTAAATTGATCTTTTTCCCCAAAATGAGCAATTTTAGTACAGCAAAAATGGTAGGCAACCATGAAAACTAAGGTCATTTTCGGAATCAGCACCATTAAATTAGCTAAAAAAATTTTTTTGCTTCTTGATACCAAAAATCATGTTGACGAGTGTAAAATGGATTTAGGCGTAGCGTTAAAAATGGATACAAAATGTGAATGCCCCGCGGTCCTGCCGAGGGATGTATGTCATCTCTCGGTTGTGTCTCTGTCTTCGAGCAGAGTTGGGATGAGTCGTGGCCTCTGTCTGTGGACAGAGTCCCAGCTGAGGAAAATAATACATTGAGTTGTCCGGTCTGGGAGAACAGCTGCCCATTCATTGCATTAACAATGGGAATCGATGGTCGCCACCAATGCCAGCGCAACTAACGGACAGGACATATTACCCACAAGTAATTATAAAGCAGAATATCTTGCTGACCATTAGCCCAACCCGAAGCGTCCCAAATATCTACTAAGCACAAGTTTCCAACTATTTGGAACTCATGAAGACCACCCCCTGTTTTTTTTTTATTTTTGACTAACGTTCACACAATACAAGGCCCAAGCGCCACTCAAGGTAGAGGGTTACTGTGTAGAGTTGCATTAGCATAAGAAAGAGCAAGATAACAGGAAAGGCAGCTAATTCTAGACTTGAAGAGGTCAAGATTTAATTAGCGAATAAAATTTCACAGTTCAGGTTTAGACAATAGAGATAAAGTAGTATGTGTGTGTGTGTGTGTGTGTGTGCGTGTGTGTGTATTACATACTGTTCCTTTCAATGAAGATTTTAGCAGAGGCCACATGGAGCCAAAACTAAATTATAGTCATTGGCTTATCCAGGTATAGTTTCGCCCCACACTGCAAAATACTACAAAACCAAATCATTAAAAAAAAAAAAAAATTAGAGTCATGTTCTTAAATAGTCTCATCAGATCAAGACTTTCATATGGATGCTATACAAGGCAACATTAACATTACAGTAAGGAGACTAATGTCATTCTTAATAAAGAATGATTTTTTTTATTACTAATGTTCCCCCAACACAAGGCCCAAGGGTCACACAATGTAGAGGGTTACGGTGTGGAATTGTATCAACCTAAGAAAAGTCAAGATAACAGGGAAAGACAGCTAATTCTAGATTTTAGATTATAGCAGAGGTCACAGGGAGCCAAAACTAGATTATCATCATGGGCTGATCCAGGTATAGTTTTTCCCCACACTGCAAACTGCTACAAAACCAAAACATTAACCTAAAAATTAGAGTCATGTTCTTAGTCTCATCAGATCAAGACTTTCATATGGATGCCATACAAGGCAACATAAACATTACAGTAAGGAGATTAATGTCATTCTCAATGAAGAAAAAAAAAGAAAGATTTTTTTTTTTACTAATGTTCTATCAATACAAGGCCCAAGAGCCACTCAATGTAGAGGGTTACTGTGTGAAATTGTATTAGCATAAGAAAGGGCAGATAAGCTTTATCTTTTTCATCACTATTTTTATATATCGCACCTATGAAGACTAACAGGTATCTCGAAGTCGTCATAAATACGTTGGACACTATTGTAAGTGAGGGTAATATGCGGTCTGCGCAGGCACCGTGAGCTGTCAGAGTGGGAAGCTCTTGCCGTGTCAAAGACTCTGCCTTCGGGCAGAGACGAACACGGACGAGGCTATGCCGACATGCAGAGTCTCGTCCGGGGAGGTAAACAGATACCCGATCCCGCGTATGCGGGGTCTACGGGCAATTTTTGCCCGAGCTCAAGGGCTCGCATTTCCCCACATTAAATTTGCCTTATGCCGCATCCTACCTCGTGGGGAGGAAGGTAAATATCGTAATATGCTGTCTAAGTAGACTAACCGTGGTTTGTCTATTTCAGGCCGCTGGCGAGTATTGTATTTTGTTGATGTTATAAAGATTACCATTTCATTTCCGACCTCCATTTTGGTTATTTCTCATTCAGTAACCCTTTTTAGGTTACAACAAATATATAAAATGAAAGAAAAAAACAAAGAAAGAAAGAAGCGGCATATAAACGAAGAATAATGTCAATAGTGTATATAATACCTCTTCTCAGAAATATAGGCAGATACTGAAAGGCCGAAACGTTGTAATAAATATGGCGACAAAGATGAGGACAATAGTTCGAATAATGTAAATAGTGTACATAATACCTCATCTCAGAAATATAGGCAGATACTGAAGGGCCGAAACGTTGTAATAAATATGGCGAGAAAGATGAGGACAATAGTCCGAATAATGTAAATAGTGTACATAATACCTCATCTCAGAAATATAGGCAGATACTGAATTACCGAAACGTTTAATAAATATGGCGACAAAGATGAGGACAATAGTCCGAATAATATAAATAGTGTACATAATACCTCATCTCAGAAATATAGGCAGATACTGAAGGGCCGAAACGTTCTCTAATAAATATGGCGACAAAGATGAGGACAATAGTCCGAATAATGTTTAAATATTGTACATAATACCTCATCTCAGAAATATAGGCAGATACTGAAAGGCCGAAACGTTGTAATAAATATGGCAGCAAAAATGAGGACAATAGTCCGAATAATGTAAATAGTGTACATAATACCTCATCTCAGAAATATAGGCAGATACTGAAAGGCCGAAACGTTGTAATAAATATGGCAACAAAAATGAGGACAATAGTCCGAATGATGTAAATAGTGTACATAATACCTCATCTCAGAAATATAGGCAGATACTGAAAGGCCGAAACGTTGTAATAAATATGGCGACAAAGATGAGGACAATAGTCCGAATAATGTAAATAGTGTACATAATACCTCATCTCAGAAATATAGGCAGATACTGAAAAGCCGAAATGTTGTAATAAATATGGCGACAAAGATGAAGACAATAGTCCGAATAATGTAAATAATTTAGACGTTAGAGTTGAAGGAGACTTTAGAAGAATCCGGAAACCCAATCCTAAAAAGGAAAAAAAATAAGGATAAACCTCTATTCCCTGTGAGGATCGTGCACCGGACAATAATATAGTAATTGGCAACAATCCAGATTAACTCATAAACCATTACTCTACATCACATTTCTCTTTAGTCAAGATAGCTGCTTACTTGTCAATAGATGACTATTTCGTTACTAGTTATATTCACTGAAGAAAAAAAAAGTTATTTCCTTTTGATAACTGATAACTGATAACTCAGCTAATGATTTATCACAGTGTTCACGTGGCCAAGATGGTGGCAAAGCGTGTGGTTGGTGGAGAAGTGTTGAAAACAGAAAGAGAAAAATGCAAATGATAAGGAAGACGTTATCTTCTGCGATAATCAAAAAAATAAAAAAAAACAGTAACTTCGACTTTTGGCGGGTGAAAAGAAGAAAAAAAGAATTTCCAGTGGAATATTTTTGGGGAATGCACAAATCAAACAGAGAAATTGGTTCGTAATGATTTCGTTTGGGATAAGGTTGTGATTCAAGAATCATAGAGTCAAAATAGAAATGTCGCAAGAAAGAAAAAAAATAGGTGAGAAGGAAAGGAATAAAGCGGAAGAGGGAAATATGTTATGGATAAATGAAAAAAGATTTAATGGAGAAGGAAAAAATAGGAAAGACAATTTGAAGAAAATAAAAGGTAGAAAGAAAGAAACGGAAGTAAAGAGAAAGATAGAAAGGAAAAAGAAAAAAGAAAGAAAAGAAAAAAGTACAGACAGTAAAGAGAAAAGGTAAAAAAAGGAAGTAAAAAGAACAGAAAATAAAACGAGAGAAAGAAAATTAGGAAGAAAAAAAGAAAACAGAAAGAAAAGAGAAAGATAGAAAGGAAAAAGTCAAGAGAACGATAAAAAGGAAAACGAAAAGAAAGAAAGAAAGAAAGAAAGAAAGAAAGAAAGAAAAAGACAAAGAAAGGGAAACGATTAGAAACAAAAAAAAACTAAAAGAAAGAAAAGAGAGACAAAAGAAAAAAAGAACAGTTAGAAAGAAAAGAGAGAAAAAAAAAAAAGGAGTTTAGAAGAAAGAAACAAAAAGAAAAAAAACAAATTTAAAAAAAAGAGAGACAAAAAAAAAGGGGACAATTAGAAAAAAAAGAGACAAACAGAAAAGGATATAGTAAAGAAAAGAGAAAAAAGAAAAGAGGCTTAGAAGAAAAAATAGGAACAAACCTAAAAAAAAGGAGAGTTAGAAAGAAAAACTAAATGAAAAAAAGAGAAAGAAAGCAAATTTAATGCAAATGGAAAGAAAGGAAAAAGAGAAGAAAAGAATAAGAAAGATTAGTGAGTAGTAAGAAAAGAAAAAGAAAATATTAATGGAAAGAAAGAGAAAAGTAAATCCATAATGAGCGTCTTAAGGGTTAATGAAATTATTCTTTCTAATAATTTTCCTCTTTGTCCTTTTTTTTAATGTCCAGTCAAGCTTTATTCATTTGGCAAAACACATTCTACGTTGTGTGAAGCTGATATAAACAATATTCCTTGTGTCCGATTTGAGAAAACTAACATTGATACGCGCATGCGTACTTGTATTCTGCTTCAATTTCGGAACGTTTAAGCCATCGATAACGTCTCGGCTTTTATAAATGGACAGAAGAATGAAAAGGCACCTCAAGGTGGTGTAATGGTTAGCAAGCTTGTCTGGCTAGAACAATTATCTGAGTAGTGACTTCGATCCTCACTGGGTGCCTCATACTTTCGGCCTTGTGCCACATCTAAGCTACGCTTAGAAAATCTCTAGACAGAAGAATGGAAGTATGTCTTCGAGAGAAATTAATGGCAAAAATACTTTACGGCGAATTTTACGACAGTAAAGGACCTGATAAAACAGCCAAGTGTTGATTTTCGTCTTTAGTTGTCTGAGACGGCATTTCTATCTATCTATGTGTGAGTTTGTTCACATCTATCTATCTATCTATCTATCTATCTATCTATCTATCTATCTATCTCAGCCTCTTCATATCTATCTATCTATCTATCTATCTATCTCAGTCTCTTCATATCTATCTATCTATCTATCGATCTATTTATCTATCCGTTTTCTCCCATTTATCTATCTATCTATCTATCTATCTATCTATCTATCTATCTATCTATCTATCTCAGTCTCTTCATATCTATCTCACTTGATTCACATCTTTTCTTTATTACTATTTTAATTCTTTTACATTTAAATATTCCTCCATCTTAACAAAATTACAATGCTTTCCTTACGGTAACAAAATGTGCCTTGGAAGACCTGAATGCGCCAGTCTTCCAAACTTTTCTGACTACCTTTCTTGTAAATCAGTCTTAACTTTCTTCTTCGGCTTGACCACCGTTCATTGACACCGATGCGAAATGCGGGCCTCTCTCAGTCACGTGACCGCGCCCAATTCATCATTGTTTTCCTTTGATTCCCGACGAGTGCTGCGGGAACGGTCGGAATTTACTCCCCAACTTCGCTTGTCAACACACAAGCTGTTGGCCATTTCCTTCCGTCTGGTCCTGTTTTTCTTCGCCTTTCATCGTAAAAGGAATTTGAAAGAGTCTTTCTCGTCACCTTTTTGCAAATGGTTTTATCTTCGAGAGGAATTTACTGCGACTTGTGCCTTTTAACGCGACGATTTCTTTGTGAGTTTTGACAAACATTTTATAAACGAGAAGTGAAGACAGCATCCTTATCAGTCTGAAAGATTCGCGTCTTTTTCTCTTTTAATCTTTCTTTGGCATTTTCATCTTTTTTTTTTTTTTACATTTTTTGATTCCCATTGTTTTTTGACTGCTCTCATTTCTTTATAAAAATTTTTCTTTTTCTTTCTTTTTTTTCTTTTTCTTTCTTTTTTCTTTTTTTTTTTTGCCCTCTCTAATTTAAATCTTTTTTTCTTTTTTTTTCTTTCTTTCTTTTTTTTCTTTCTTTCTTTCTTTGTCCGTGTTTCTTACTTTTTAAAAAAAATTCCCTCTTTGTATTTTAACCTATTCTTTCTTTCATTCTTTCTTTTTTTTCTTTCTTTCCTTCCTTCTTTCTTAATTTTCTTTTTTTTAATTGCCCCTTCTTTCTTTAAAATTCTTTCTCTCTTTCTTTCTTTCTTTCTTTCTTTTTTCTTTCTTTCTTTCTTTCTTTGTCCGTTTTTTAGCTAATCGTTTTCTTTTATAAAACAATAAAATCTTCTTTTATTCTAACCTCTGATTTTCTTTCCTTCTTTCTTTCTTTCTTTATTTTTTCTTTCTTTCTTACATTCCCCCCCTTTTATTCTAGCCGCCTCGTTCTTTCTTTCGTTCTTTCTTTCTTTCTTTCTTTCTTTCTTTCTTAAAATTTTTCTTTCTTTCTTTCTTTTCTTATTTCTTTCTTTCTCATATTCTTCTCTTTCTAACGTCCCGACTCTTTTCTGCGATTTTAACATTATTTTATTTATTCATTCTTTCTTTTTTTTTTCTTTCTTTTCTTTTTTTTTTTTTTCAAATTTTCTTTTCTTCTTGAAAATTTTGTTTTTTTAAAGTTTTCTTTCTATCTATCATTCATTTGAATTTTCTTTGAATGCAATTTTTTTTTTTTTTTTTTGTTCTGTTTTTTTTTTTTTTGTTTCTTTCTTTAAATTCTTTATTTTTATTTCAAAAAATTTTCTTTCTTTTTTTTTCTTTAAAATCCCCTTTTTTCTTTCTTAGAATTTTTCATTTCTTTTTCAATTTTTATTTTTGTTTCTTTCTTCTTTTTTTTTTTTTTTATTTGCCTCCTTCTTTCTTTTTCTTTCTTTTTTTTCTTTCACTGAAATTTTTTTTTTAATGTCTCACATTTTAATTCATTTTTGGTTGACAAATTCTATCTTTTTTGCATTTTTTTTTTTTTTTTTCTTTTGTGTCATTTTCCTTCTTTTTTCTTTCATGATCATTCTTTTTTTTTTCTTTTTTTATGCAATTTCCTCTCCTCTTTTCCTTTTTTGATTCTTTGCTTACTTTCTCCTTTTTTTCTATTTTCTTCCTTTCTTCCTCTCTTCCTTCCTTTTCTGCATTTTCCCCTTCTTTCTTTCTTTCTTTCTTTCTTTTTTTCTTTCTTTGTTCTCTTTCTCTTTTCATTCAGTTTAATCTCCCATTTTATTTTTATTTAATCATTCTACTCATTAAGGCATTTTTTTAAACATATTCTTCTCCTTTTATGTACCATCATCTTTTTTTTTTCCCAAAACTCTTCCCCGGTATTTAAAGTCAACAATTCGTTCGGAAATGGCTCCCTCACCTTTTGAAAATTAAAAAAAAAAAAATCCATTCTTTTTTCCCGCGTTTCTTTTTACTCGAGGGAAAGGGGAGATAATCCAGTTTGACATCGACATGGTAGGTTCGCCCTCATTAAATTCAATTCGTAAATTAATTTTCACAAACTTAATCCCAAAACGACTTGTTTCCGAATGGACCCACCAACCCATAATCCTCTAATTAAAAAATAAAAATAAAAAATAAAATCCATTTTACTGGATTTCGTGCAAAACATTTTTGTTTTTCTATTTATTCTTTCTCACGGTCGCGACACATGTTACGAATTGACGGTTCAAAAATTTTCAACTCGGGACAAAAGTAATCTTGAATGTGAATGATTGCATACAGGGTCAATGGTATTTTAAAAAAAAGTAAGATTTTGCATTATTTGCATTAATCGGACTATTATCCTCATCTTCATTGGCATATTCACAACGTTTCAGTCGTTGTACGCTCCGGCCTTCATGGCTGTGACTCTCTATATATCTGTCTATATCTCTGAGATGAGGTATTATCCGTCCTGATTACTTGCATTATTTACATTATTCGGACTGTTATCCTCATCTTCATTGCCATATTCACAATTGAAAAATAAATTGTTGTACGCTCCGGCATTTATGTCTATGTCTCTCTATATTTTCCGTCTATATCTCTCAGATGAGGTATTATGATTACTTTTATTATTTACATTATTCGGACTGTTATCCTCATCTTCATTGCCATATTCAAAACGTTTTGCCGTTGAAAAAAGCCTTCTTCAGGAAAAATGAATCTATGAGATGAGGTATTATGAAATTTTGCATTATTTACATTATTCGGACTGGTATCCTCATCTTCATTGCCATATTCACAAGGTTTCGGCCGTTGAACACTCCGGCCTTCTTCAGGAAAATGAATCTATGAGATGAGGTATTATGATTACTTGCATTATTTACATTATTTGGACTGGTATCCTCATCTTCATTGCCATATTCACAACAAAAAGATTAAAAAATCTGTCTCCGGCCTTTATGTCTATGTCTCTCTTTATATCTGTCTATATCTCTCAGATGAGGTATTATGATTTTTGCATTATTTACATTATTCAGACTGTTATCCTCATCTTCATTGCCATATTCACAACAAATTTATTTACGCACCGGCCTTTTTCAGGTGATTGAATTAATGAATCGAACTTTATTTAGTGCTGCTTCAAAAAAAATCTCCTCATTTTATTTCACAACCAGTTGCCCCTTGCATCTCACTGGCATTATTGCCTTAATTGGGGTGAATTGGCAGTAGTTGCTGGACAATTTCCTTACAAATGAAGAAGAGACTTGAAGCAACAGAAATATATTTCTACAGAAGGATGCTGAGAATTCCATGGACTGAACATGTGAGCAACGACGAAGTTCTATAGAAAATGGATACAAAAATGAAACTTATAAAACATCAGGAACGGACAGTTGAAATTTCTAGGTTACATAAGACCAAGGTTCTTATTTAAAAAATTTGATACTCCATAAAACGGATAGAGGGCAGGAGGGACATAGAAATTGAGGCACATAACCTACTTAGAGAGTTTGATTAAATGGATGGCGGAACAAGGTTAAGGAGAGTTAAGAAAAGGACAAAATTTATTAAAGTTACCTGAAGCAGGAAGTTGAGGAGATTCTTTGAAATTAAATCCCCTGAAAGGACACAAACATAGAATATCTTTTTGATATTGAATATGTAATAGAAATTTTGGATCATGGTTTGTGTCCAAGTAACAGTGAAACAGGTATAATGATTTTGTCCATCAAATGAGCAATTAGTTGTTTTTTTTTTTAATTTTTTTTTCAATGAAAAAAAACAAGTAAAGGAATGAAAAAAAGGAAAAAAATTTCTTTAGAATAATATTTTAAATTTGAAATCTTTTCATATTTATTCGAATATATTTTATTTTAATCTGGCATTTGTTTATAAATCTATATTTTAAAATGAATCATTTTTATATATATATTTATATATTTATATATATATTTATGCTAAATATATTAGAACTGGTTAAATCTGAAATTTTTCTAAAAGTTTCAAACCATATATGAAATTTAAAGGGAATTTAAATGAAAGACAAAAATTTCATTATTTTTTTTAGGTTCTATGAATATTGTGAAAAATTTATCAAACAATAAAGTGTTTATTAGAGAATCTGTCTCTGAACAATCGATATTTATTTTTTTCTCGTTTTGAGTTTTTTTTCTGAGTTTGAATCGTTAATTTTTTTTTCGCCTCAATTACATGTTCTTAGTTCTATCTTTTTTTAAACTTCCTTATTTTTCCTTGGGCATTGGTTTGTTCATTTATAAAACCATAATTATAGATATATATATATATATATAAATTTTTTTTATGTTTAACGTTCTTTTTTTATAGAAACATGTAAAACAAATGCTCTGTTTATAATTTTTTATATTAAATAACATTTACCGGCCTGAATTTCCGAGAAATTTTGAATGAAAATATTCGTCCTTTGACAGGATTCGAACCTGCATCCTATACGGAATTTTCATTTACATGACATTAATGTATTTCTTTAACAAAGGCCGAAAAAAAAAAGGTCGAATTTACTGCTTATAAACATCAATCTTTATATTTTGGTAAAAAACGTTAAAACATAAAAATGTCTTTAATAAATAAATCGTCATAAAATATTTGAAATAAAAATTAAATAGATATATATATATATATATATATATATATATATATATATATATATATATATATATATATTATATATATATATATATAGAATTTTATATAAACCTATAGGTTTTTCTAAACGGATTCGTGTCAATAAAACATTTCTTTATATTTTGTCTGGCTCATAGGTTTATCTAGGTCTGCTCTACGGTTGTATTGAGCTCTTTTGTTAGTTA